GCCCCCAGTACCTGGTTGTCTCGGAGCTGCTTGACCTCACCATGCAGGTCTTCAATGCTCCTGTTGGCTTCTCTAGCCAGGTTCTTAGCGAATTTGACAACCTTATCTGCCTGACCCACCTGGTTCTTCACCGCTTCCACCTCTGTTGCGCTCTGCGACACAGCCTGTAAACAGCGACGAAGAAACACAAAGATTAAGTTAAATTCTATATTGTTTACGATTCATCTACTTTATATAGTTAGTTAATATCTGTGTGTGTGTGTGTGTGTGTGTTAACGCAAATTAAAATATTGGTGTCGCTTTTAAATCAATGTAAACTTACAGTCACGAGCCTGTCTGTGACGATCTCCTGGGTGCTGAGGCTGTTGTTCATATCCCGGATGTCTCGCTGAAGACGGGAGTTCATCCACTTCAGACGGGTGTTGATGTTCTTCTGTTCGTTCAGCTCCCCCCTCATGTTCCTCATCTCGGTATCCTGTTCGACCAACTTACTGTCGTACCTTTGCTGTCAATACGAGACAAAAAAGATGACATTACTGTTCTTAGTGTTACCTTCCTTTGGATTTACGGACCAGAGCTTCCTATATCTGTACTGTATACCGTTCTCTATTTGTCTGTCTATCTTCCTATCTGTATACCTGTCTTTTTATTTGTCTGTCTATCTGTTTATCTGTATACCTGTGTATTTATCTGTCTGTCTGTCTGTATACCTGTCTTTATTTGCCCGTTTATCTTCTTCACTGTATAAATATATGTTATCTGAATTTATTTGCCTATATAGGATCCATTTGGGACCCACTAAGACTGGGACCCACAAAGAGTGGGACCCACTAAGACTGGGACCCACTAAGACTGGGACCCAGTAAGACCGGGACCCACTAAGAGTGGGGACCACTAAGACTGGGACCCACTAAGACTGGGGCCCACTAAGACTGGGACCCACTAAGACTGGGACCCACTAAGACTGGGACCCACTAAGACTGGGACCCACAAAGAGTGGGACCCACTAAGACTGGGACCCACTAAGACTGGGACCCAGTAAGACCGGGACCCACTAAGAGTGGGACCCACTAAGACTGGGACCCACTAAGACTGGGGCCCACTAAGACTGGGACCCACTAAGACTGGGACCCACTAAGACTGGGACCCACTAGTCCTGGAACCCACTAAGACTGGGAACCCACTAAGACTAGGACCCACTAAGACTAGGACCCACTAAGACTGGGACCCACTAAGACTGGGACCCACTCCACTAAGACTGGGACCCACTAGACTGGGAACCCACAAGGACCACTAAGACTGGGACCCACTAAGACTGGGACCCACTGACCCACTAGACTAGAACCCATAAGAGGACCCACTAAGATTGGGACCACTAAGACTGGGACCCACCCACTACCAAGATTGGGACCCACTAAGACTGGAACCCACTAAGACTGGGACCCACCAAGACAGACCACTAAGACTGGGACCCACTCAAGACTGGACTGGGACCCACTAAGACTAGGGACCCACTAAGACTGGGACCCACTAAGACTGGGACCCACTAAGACTGGGACCCACTAAGACTGGACCCACTAAGACTGGGACCCACTAAGACTGACCCACTAAGACTGGGGACCCACTAAGACTGGGACCCACTAAGACTAAGGACCCACTAAGACTGGGACCACTAAGTGGGACCCACTAAGAGACCCACTAAGACTGGAACCCACTAAGACTGGGGACCCACTAAGACTGGAACCCACTAAGACTGGGACCCACTAAGATTGGGACCCACTAAGACTGGAACCCACTAAGACTGGGACCCACTAAGACTGGGACCCACTAAGACTGGGACCCACTAGTCCTGGACCCACTAAGACTAGAACCCACTAAGACTGGGACCCACTAAGACTGGGACCCACTAAGACTGGGACCCACTCGGACTTGGACCCACTAGGACTAAGACCCACTAGGACGAGGACCCACTAGGACGAGGACCCACTAAGACTGCAACCTAATACAGTAAGACTGATCGGAAATTTGACTCGCCTGATTCTTGTGACTCATTTCACTCATGTGACTCACTCGTTTCACCTGACTCGCTTGGTTCACTTTTTTCACATGACTCGCCCGACTCACCTGACCTGCTTAATTCACTTGTTTCGCCTGACTTGTTTTACCTGACTCGCCTGGCTCACTTGTTTCACCTTACTTGACTGACTCACTTGTTTCACCTGACTCGCCTGACTCTTATGACTCTGTAGACTCTCGTGACTGTTGATTTTCATGGTTAGACTCACTGATAACTCTTTTTACCATAGTCATGACTCTAATAACTCACCTCAACTCTGCTGAAGCACAAAATTTTTTGCTGACTCACTTGAACTGCTGACTCGCTCGACTCTAGCGACTCACCTGCATGTCGTCGAGCCTCTTGTGAAGTTCCTGGAGTTGAGTCTCATCAGCTTGGAGGGACCTAGTGTGGAGGCCCTCGGCTAACAGTTCGTCCAGCCGCCTGCATGTGAGAGAATCGGGATTACTGAGAGAACCGAGAGGAAGGGGTGAGAGAGCCGGAGGTGCGAGAAAGGGAGGGAAAGATGTGAGAACACCTGCCACTGCCAGCTGTACCTTTTCCTTCACCATCTTCTGAAGTAGCCTCAAACTCTTGCCTCAGCATTTTTACGGATGTCACTGTACTCATCTTTGACTAATTGTATTTTCTCATATGCTGTCTATGTATCGAGACTAGGCGAGTGCAAAGAAGAACGGGCCACAATGGAGTGCAACTACAAAGCTGTATTAAGGTGATCTGATGGGGCAGTATTCCATTGGTATCCGTGACTGTCCTCTGGCGTCTCACTTACCAAGGTCTCCCATCCACTTTCTGGTAATTTCCTCCACACAGATCAACAGTGCTTCATGCATTGTGCAAAACTCCTCGAAGGTGTGTCGACCATCACTCATTATTATCATTCTGATAATTTATCGTAATAACAAAAAAAAAATCGGCATAAAAAAAAACTCGGTTTAGGGGTTTTTAAACTATTTTTACTACTGTATATAAAATTCTAATCTTTAGATTGTTATTGATATTACAAATATTCAAATTATTAGAGGAAAAAAATAGATTAATATAGATATGACACAGGATGTTGTCTATCAATCTAGAGTGAACATCTGCCTCTCACCTGCAAGTAATCAACTGAGAGTAAAATTACTTCAAATAATATTAGGCTATAAAATAGGGGGGCACCGGCTCTTCCTTCCCCCTTGGACACGCCACGATATATATATATATATATATATATATATATATATATATATATATATATATATATATATATATATATATATATATATATATATATGAATGTCCCTCGAAATCGAGGATGGCCGGCTCTAGGGCCACCTAGGCGTGAATTTGTTTAAGGTGTAGAAACTGTCGCCAACTCAACAACCACACCCAAAGTTAACGAGCTGCATGACCCAGTGTCAGAGAACAGTCCGAGAAGACCGGACAACTCGCCAACAGCACTGCCTAACCATTACCCCGGAACACAATTCGCAAATCGATTAACATCCAAGTCCTCAATTGCTCTGGGTAGACAGGCAAATGGCGTAAAGAAATTTGACCCTTATTTTTACCCTGCCCGGGGATCGAACCCAGGTCTACTCGCTTGCGAGGCAAGCATGCTAACTATATATATATATATATATATATATATATATATATATATATATATATATATCAGTGTTGTATTCAAAAACACAGAGGTCAAGTTAAATGATCTAATTGACCTGAAAGCACAGCAATGTCGATAGTCTGGTCAGAGGAAACTGACCTGACTACCGACCACTGCGGTGCTTTTGTAAAGATTAGTAGGGTCATTACCTATACTTGACCTCTGTGGACTTGTTCTAACCCTCCTCTGTATATATATATAACTTGTTCTGCACTCCTATTTTAGTCTGTACTCACCCCTGAAGATGTGAATTACACGAAAGAGCTTGGGAACTTCGTGTTTTCTTTTTCCTTGTGGTTATCAGCATACATATATATATATATATATATATATATATATATATATATATATATATATATATATATATATATATATATATATATATATATATTTATATATTTCATTTTTAGTCCATATAACACGCGGACTTTGAACATATAATCAACGACCTCACCAGCAAGGAATCGAACCCTCGACCTACTGGGTGGGACTAGGGAACGCTTACCGGCTAGGCCACAAAGACACAAAAAGCAGTTCTAGACTCTGTTATATTTCACACAAAGCCTGTTCATCGAGCTGATGGCGCCGTGAACCTCATTGGGAAACTGCCCGTGCCTCTTATGTGGTGTCAGTAGCATTTTACCGAATCCAGCTGGTATGAAACGCGAGGTACATATATATACTTCATTTTTAGTCCATATAACACGCGGACTTTGAACATATAATCAACGACCTCACCAGCAAGGAATCGAACCCTCGACCTACTGGGTGGGACTAGGGAACGCTTACCGGCTAGGCCACAAGGACACTAAAAGCAGTTCTAGACTCTGTTATATTTCACACAAAGCCTGTTCATCGAGCTGATGGCGCCGTGAACCTCATTGGGAAACTGCCCGTGCCTCTTGTGTGGTGTCAGTAGCATTTTACCGAATCCAGCTGGTATGAAACGCGAGGTACATATATATATACTTCATTTTTAGTCCATATAACACGCGGACTTTGAACATATAATCAACGACCTCACCAGCAAGAGGCACGGGCAGTTTCCCAATGAGGTTCACGGCGCCATCAGCTCGATGAATAGGCTTTGTGTGAAATATAACAGAGTCTAGAACTGCTTTTAGTGTCCTTGTGGCCTAGCCGGTAAGCGTTCCCTAGTCCCACCCAGTAGGTCGAGGGTTCGATTCCTTGCTGGTGAGGTCGTTGATTATATGTTCAAAGTCAGCGTGTTATATGGACTAAAAATGAAGTATGTATATGTACCTCGCGTTTCATACCAGCTTGATTCGGTAAAATGCTACTGACACCACATAAGAGGCACGGGCATTTTCCCAATGAGGTTCACGGCACCATCAGCTCGATGAACAGGCTTTGTGTGAAATATAACAGAGTCTAGAACTGCTTTTAGTGTCCTTGTGGCCTAGCCGGTAAGCGTTCCCTAGTCCCACCCAGTAGGTCAAGGATTCGATTCGTTGCTGGTGAGGTCGTTGATTATATATATATATATATATATATATATATTTTCAGGGGTGAGTACAGACCTAGTCTATACTCACCCCTGAAGATGTGAATTACACGAAAGCGCTTGGGAACTTCGTGTTTTCTTCTTTCCTTGTGGTTATCAGCATATACCTAGATCACGCGCACCTACAGTGATTTACTTGCATATATATATATGTGTACACTAGTGAATAAACGCTGCCCTCCGGGCTGCTTATTCGCTAGGCCACGGAAGGACGCCAACCTCCGGGAGGCTCCACATTGTTTCACTGTTCAGTCCTCAAAACTTCTTCTTCCATCAATAGTTCATTAACGGTGTATGTAAGTTCCACCACGTTTTTCACTACAACAGTACAGCAAAGTATATTTTTTTAGCATTAAACTGTTATTATTTTATTGTCTAATCATCACTACATATAACACCACCCATCATCAGTGCATATAACATCAGCCATCATCACTACATATAACACCATCCATCATCACTACATATAACCCCATCCATCATCACTACATATAACACCACCCATCATCACTACATGTAACAACATCCATCATCACTACATATAGCACCACCCATCATCACTACATATAACATCATCCATCATCCCTACATATAACATCATCCATCATCACTACATATAACACCATCCATCATCACTACATATAACACCACCCATCACTACATATAATAACATCCATCATCACAACATATAACATCATCCATCATCACTACATATAACACCATACATTATCATCACTACATATAACACCATCCATCATCATCACTACATATAACACCATCCATCATCACTACAGATTGATAAAGTAGTTTCCGAGATTCTCGTGCGGACACACAAACAAACAGACATACTTCTTTGTTTTATATATACACTAAAGGAATCGCCGCCCTCCGGGCTGCTCTTTCGCTAGGCCACGGTAGGACGCCACCCTCCGGGAAGCTCCACATTGTCTCACTGTAGTGCATTAAGGTGTCTTCTTTGATCCTGACTTTGTACTCATCAGCAGGCATGTTTTCCAGGGCATTTTTAAATGACTGTACATACGTTTTGCGCTCATGCAGCATTTCTTGTATAGATAGGAGAATGTCATGTCTGACACCTTGAATGTTGCCACACCTGATAGTAGTCTACTTTTCATGATCTCCCATGAAGTAGATTTGGAGGAACCTTGCCTGTTCATCTTCCAGTGGTAAGAGGGATCCTGCTTTGTGATAGACTTGACCCTGGACTTTGAATGTGGGCATGTATCCGTGCTCACGAACTACTCTGGTAGCTCCAAAATTTGTCATATGGAAGCATGGTGTTGTTCCCAGCGTGAGAGTCTTCAACGGTTGTGGTGATTTTTCCAAATTTGGCAGTCGTACTTTCCAATGAGAGCAGATGAGTCCAGCAGATTCTCCTTTGTACTTTTTTGCACCACAGTATTCACATTTCTTATCCATGTTGTCAATGACAACAGAAGGATACTTTTCATATTCTATATACAACATCATCCATCATCACTACATATAACACCATCCATCATCACTACATATAACATCATCCATCATCACTACATATAACACCATCCATCATCACTACATATAACACCACCCATCATCGCTATATATAACATCATCCATCATCACTACATATAACACCATCCATCATCACTACATATAACACCATCCATCATCACTACAGATCGGTAAAGTAATTTCCGAGATTCTTGTGCAGACACACAGACAAACAGACAGACTTCTTTGTTTTATATAGATATAGATCACCACTACATATAACACCACCCATCATCACTACATATAGCACCACCCATCATCACTACATATAACACCACCCATCATCACTACATATAACAGCATCCATCATCACTACATATAACAACATCCATCATCACTACATATAACAGCATCCATCATCACTACATATAACACCACCCATCATCACTACATATAGCACCACCCATCATCACTACATATAACAACATCCATCATCACTACATATAGCACCACCCATCATCACTACATATAACAACATCCATCATCACTACATATAGCACCACCCATCATCACTACATATAACAACATCCATCATCACTACATATAGCACCACCCATCATCACTACATATAACAACATCCATCATCACTACATATAGCACCACCCATCATCACTACATATAACAACATCCATCATCACTACATATAACACCACCCATCATCACTACATATAACAACATCCATCATCACTACAT